TCCAGAACGTTTTGCTTTTTGTTTTGTCAAGTCAGGAGACTCCTTGCGTCCACCTGGGTGGTATTTATCATTCTCCACATGATTAAAATTTTGGAGGAGTATCAAGTGGGACTGTAAAGTATCCTGCACATCAAACTATGAAAAATTGTTCCATATCAATGGGACACCATCTGCCAGGACTCTTCTCGTCACTCCAGCCATTGCTATCAGCTTTGGTGACTCATGAAAGGCTCTCAGCCAAGGCTCACGGGAAGTAACATGATGGGTAAAAAGAATACAAAGAACATCGACTTTGGATATATTCATTCGTGGAACTATGACTATTTAATAAAATGAGCATGGATCTATCAAAATACCTGAAGAGATGTTGAGAGAACTGAACGCTCCATCAGTCTTTAGTATAGTACCTAGCCTATAGACAGTGAGTCACATACATAGAAGTTCAAATATCCACTTCCTATTGAACAAGTAAGAGTGCAAAAGAATTCTCACTCACGTTTCCTATGCTATTGCTAAGCCATGGCTCCTCTTCTGTTAATTTACATGGCCATCTCCCGGAGTCTGCCTCTTGAAGGGTGGACCATGAATCTCGAGTAGTTCTGCTTTGGTGTGGATCCTGCCAAGTGTTGGTTGTGGTCAGCCCCGCCTTCCCCTCAACATCCACCACCTACCCTGTGCGTGGCTCTGGGCTGGGCTCCATGGGCCCCATGGCAACCAATAGATGTGTCACCCCAAAAGAAAGAAGTAGCAAGTGTGGAAATAGGTACGTTTGAGAAGCATAGGATAGCACGGAGGAGCACACCAAAACAAAGCACAACGTGTGTACAAATGACATCCACGTGGTCCCCTGTCCCTTGTTAAATCCTGCTCTTCTCAGGATGTTATTGAGTCCAGTTACAGAAAAGAAAAGAAAAGAAAAAAAAGCTCAGTGATTTAAATAACACCAGGGAGGGGATTTTGTTTTTATATTCGTTTTTGTTTGTTTTTGATTTATATCACTGATAAGTCCAGGGATAACTGATTTTAGGAAAAGCTTCCATCTAGTGTCATGAGAGGATCAAGAATCATTCTTTTTCCATTTCTAAGCTTTTTAATTGCTGAACATCAAATCGATTATTGAAAAGCTCTTTCTCTCCTGGTCCCAAAACGACTGTCCTTGGCTGCTGAGGACCCAAACTTCCTATTTTATACAGCAAGAAGGAGTGTATCAAATAGAAGTTCTGGGGACTGGGCTGGGGCTCAGGGGCAGAGCACTCACCTAGCACCTGTGAGGCACTGGGTTCCATCCTCAGCACCACATAAAAATAAATATACAAAATAAAGGTACTCTATCTACAACTAAAAATATTTTTTAAAAAAATAGAAGTCCTGGTTTCTAATTAGACTCCTGCAAGACCTGTAGCTGTCTGTGAGCAGAAGAATGGATGTCCAGTATGGAGCCATGGCCCCCACCTCTAGACCCAGATCAACTTTCCTAAAGCAGAAGGTCTGCCTGAGAGGGGTCATGCATTGGCATCTTGTGACCCTCTTCAGATTTATGATCACTGCACAATTGCTGCACAAACTGGGTTTCTGTCTAAACTTCTACCAACAGCAAATGAAGGCTGCCATTTCGCCACTTTCTCCCTAACACTTGTTTTTTGTGTTGTTTTGTTTTGTTTAATTAATGTTAATATTGAAAGACATGAAATGGAATCTTATTGTTCATGAGCCATTCCTATCCTTTTTTTCAAAAAAGTGTCCATTTAAATAATTCGACTATGCCATACTTAGGTCATCGCCTCCCCCAACCCCCGTATATTTCACACACCAGCTTTTACTCTCTTGCTTCTTGTTAATAATCCCTCCCAGTCTGTGTCAGTCCACTTTCCTGTTGCTGGATTCTCCATGCAGATGTATGAATTTCAAGGTATTTAAAGGCAGCACTGTTTCCCTTTGCAGTTTGGAATTTTTTTATACCTTATTGAGAAGCTGCTTTCCTAGCTTTTCTATCCCAAGGTAGTGAAAATAACCTTTTATATTTTTAATCTACAGGTTTTAGATTTTTGCTCTTCACTTCTAGTTTCTCCACTCACCTGGAACTGGTGTGGATCATGTGAGATAAAGACTCTATTTATCTACTTAATTGTTGAGTTCAAATGGCCGGGTGTTCTAGTGCTGTTTATTGACTCTTCCTTTCATTCCTGATAATTTACCAGGTGCTAATTCTTCAGGTTAAAATGAGTCTCACTCTGGGCTTGGTTTTCCACTTATTATCGTGAGTGTTCTAACTTGCTTTCTTTCGATTTTCTCCCTCTTTCCCCATCTTCTTTCAAGTTGACCAGGTTCCTTGATTCACGCTCCTTTCCTGATTCAGCAGCTGCAATGTCTATGTTCTGTTCTTTAGACTCACTTAGGCTTCAGGGGCCAACATTACGGATCCCCGCAAAGGACACCATGTCAGCAGGCTCTCACACCTGGTCACCTGTCTCCGAGCCTTTGGATTCCACCTGGCTGTAACACCTTCGTCATCATCTTGATTCTTTCTGTAGCAGGCCTGATTTAGATTCCTGTGCGTGCTTCCTTGTTTATCTGTGCCTCGTTCCTCTTGCATTCTTCTGGTTCATCTTTCAGCATTTTGCAAATATCATCTCACTAATTTCCAGACTCCGCTGCCAGCGTCCATCCATTGCCGGGTCATGGTAGGTGATGTCTCCTCCGCTGCCTGCACCTACAATCATTTCTTTGTGTTTTGTGTTCTGTATTTATTTCTTCATTATGTGTCAAATTGAAGTTGTGTTGGTTTATTTATTTTATTATCTATAGAACTCAGTGTGCGCTATTTATTCTGAAAAATTATATATTTCTTCTACTTGGGGAACTTCTAAGCTATGATCTTTTCTTTAAACATTTTTTTTTAGTTGTAGATGGATATAATATCTTTATTTATTTTTATGTGGTGCTGAGGATCGAACCCAGTGCCTCACACATGAGAAGCAGGAGCTCTACCACTGACCTACAGCCTCACCTCTGAGCCATGATTTTTTTAAAATGTTGCTTTCCTCCCATTCTCTCTGATCTCTTCTCTGGATAACTTTATATATATATATACATATATGTATATATATTTGTATATATGTATATATATGTGTGTATATATATATAATTTTCTCTATCCTGCATACCTTTTAACCTTTCTTTTGTATTTTCTGGGTCTTCATTTTATTGAACCACATTCTGTACAATTCCTCCAGATCTATGTTCACAAATTCTTTCTTCATCTAATTTATTGGGAACTTTTTCCCTTTCACAGTTACTTATTTTTCACTCTTGAGAAATTCTCTTGGTTAATCTTTGTTTTTATAAAAAGCTCCAGAGCTTTGGGTTATAATTCCTTTTCATTTCTCTTTAATAAATTTGAATATTTTTTTAAAAACCCTTCTCGTATTGTTCTGTTACATTGAGTTCTTGGGACACCATCCCCCTAAGTGGTGGCCGCTGGCTTGTCTTCACGGCACACTGGTTTGTAATTTGTGATTGTGAGCTCATCTTTAGTGGAGATTGTTTCTGTCACTGTTGGGATCAGTCAGGCTGAATTAGAAACATTTTATTTTTTTTCTTGGTGATGACTACTTGTTTTTTATATCTAGAACTACTTTTTATATCAATAATTCTGCTTGAGATTCAATCCAGACCCATCACCTGAAGTAGTATCACCTTGAGTTTCAATTTCTCAGGAGACATTTCCCATCCTTTCAGGAGTCTGGGGAGAGGACAAGTTTTTATATCAGTATTTGGACTTTCTTCATCACCCTTTTCATATAAGTAGTATCTCTGTAGGATCCCATAAGTTCCACCTCTGCACTGTGCTCGGGCTCAAGAGTTGACCTCCCGGATCCCAAAAGGTCATTCAAACCTCAGCCATCAAGAGAGCTGGCCCCCACACCCAGCTCCATGCCTTATTGCTGCAATCTCAGTTCATGACCAACTTGAATTCAGTCTTAATTTTGGATATTTGGAGATTTATCTCTCTTTTGAGCTTGCTTACACACTTTTAAAAAGATCATTTCACTACATGTATATACGTGTGTGTATTTAATGTGAGGCTACACTGCTATACTTTTGTATTTTTTGTTATGAAAAGCTAAATTTAAAAGTCCTATAAAAGTCCTTTTATCTGTTTATTTATCTACCTATCTGGGTATATCACTCAAGAGCTTGTGAATTCCTTAAAGACATCTTGTTGTTGTTCTTAGTTTTCACAATGACCACAAACATTGATAAATTCTAACTCTCGTACAAATAGGAATAACAGTAAGTAAAAAACATTCTGTATTCCTGTTTTCTTATCTAAAAACACTCTACCAATATAGAAGTGTTATGCAGAGGAAATAAAATTGTTCATGAAATAATCCCTGATTGATATCTAATATGTGAAAAGAAAAAAAAAACAGAAAATAAATACCTGAAATAAATACTAATTAGTATTACTAAAAAGTTTCTAGAAGTGTATGTATGTGAGTCAATAAAAGAGCCTTAGCAGTTCACACCTCGAGGGCTATGCTTCCAGATTGTGGAAAGCAGAGTCTTTTCAGTACAGCAGCAAGGTAATGTAATTTCATAAACAAAGGCCTGTGGGCCTTAGCTCGTGCCCAGGCACAGAGAGCACCGAGCTGCCAGGCCTTGGGAGGCAGGTGGTGTGTCCTGGCTTCCCTCCACACTTTACCACCAGCATTAGCTCTCGCTTGTCAGATGTGCCAGAATGAGACAATAACCTGCCACCCTCCTCTGAGAATATGATGATCCCCATTTAGTATGTCATGGTACTGGCACATAATCACAGTGTCATCTCTTCTAATATTGGAAGACAAAGAGCAATTTGGGTTAGCAGGTCTCAGGCTAGAGAACTGAAGCTGAGGAGTAAAAGCAGGTTAATACCTTATGAAGAACAAAGCTGTCGAGGAGGCAGCTCCTGAGGAGATCTGAAAAACCACTTCCCATCGCACGCGTGTGGTGCTCACCTTGCACATGTGTGTCATGGGCTCATCGGATGTTTCCACGCCGTGGGCCTCACCCAGGTTAAGCTCTTCGGCTGTCCTTTAAAGTCGCCTCTTGTTGAAAGAGTGGAAAATCAAGGTAGCATCTTGCAAAGCCTGCCTTGTTTGGGAAACGGAAGTGAGGCTGGGTAACCAGGGGGCGGGGGAGTCAGGGCTTGGAATGGGCCTGTGAATTTCCCCATTTGGTTTCTCTCACAGTGACCTGGGCAGCCACTCCATGTGACCGGTGTCTAGACATGAGAAACAGCTGGAGGGTAGGTGAGGAAGGCGAGAAGAGATTGGAAGGAGACCTGGTAAACATCCTCTCTCTTCTGTTGCTCTCTGGGGCAAGAGTAGACTTTTTTTTTTTTTTTTTGGTGAGGTTCCCAAAATGCAAAGTATAGGTCATCAATTATTTATCAATCATTTATTGAACCCTTTCTCTGGGCCAGTGCAAGTGAATATTATATGACCAGTGTGCAAACTGTTTATTTTTATTATCTCACTTAATTTTCAGAATACTGCAAGGACAGTATTATCTCATGGCCTTAGGAGCTATGTTAGGTTGCTTTTCAGTTGCTGAAAAGCAGAATTTTGCTCAACATGAAGGCATTGTGATTTAATTGAAAACAATTGGGCTTTGTAGCTAGATAAACCTAGGTTTATTTCCCAGCTCTGCCACCCATTAGTTTTGTTACCGTGATCAACATAATTTAAACTCTCCTAGGCTCAATCTGCTCATGCATAAAACAGGGGTGATAATAACTACCTCATAGGATATGCACAGAATTAAAATGAGATACGTTTACATAAAACCTCTTAGAAGTTAACATTTATTGAGCACTATCTTTGTGCCAGGCATGTGTTAACCACTTTATAAACATCTTATTTAATTCTTACAACACACTCTCTAAAGTACCAAGAATTCCAATTTCTTTTAAAGAAATTAAGGTTCATAAAACTTAGTTTTTGCCTAAGGCCATTAAACTAGTAAGTGCCATAATTGACATTCCAAGCCCTTCTGTCTTGTTGTGTTGTGGCCTTAACCACCATTCTTCAAAGGATTTGGAAAGTCTGAAAAATAGGGGAAATATTCACCATTTTTTGAGGTTTTTGTACAAGTAGTTCCTGTACTGTAAAGGAAGTTAGATGCCGTACTTTCTAAACCACTTTCCAACTGTGAACCTTGTTTGTATAAAACAGATTTCTTAAACCATTTAGGAAGAAGCAAGTGTGTTGGCCACATTTTCTTGGTTTGAACTTCAAACTAAGTTTTTCCAAACTGCCCAAGGCAGACACCTACGCCTGCACCATCTTAGAAAGAAGACCTCTTGGTCCAATCCCAGGTCTTTTTGGTTCAACTTTTGTTCTCTGAATTGTTTTGGACCACCTCCTGCTTCCTTCTCCCGACCCATCACTGGTCTATATTCACGTATGTGAAGCATAGTGTGGACACTTCTGGAAAGCTCCACCAAGCTTGACTCCTGAGCATGACGTTCTCCTCAGCCAGAGCCCACACTGGCCCTGCCCGCTGGCCCTTTCCAAGCCCCCTCCCTGAGCCACAGTGAGTGGTCCCATGCACTAACCATTGTTGTCTCTTGTTCATCCCTGGCACTCCCCCATCACTCACAGGGAAGCCTCTGTCCTGGGAGGTGGAGGAGCTAATAACCAAAGACACCTCATTACCCTGACTCCACCGCCACTCAGGAAACCCATCCCAGGGAGCCTTCTCAGCGCAAAAGAGCCTCCTTTCAAGTCCATGGCTTTCCCTAGTCACGTGTGTACCTAGAAGCCAGGCCCATTTTATATGGAGGGGAGCCCCAGTGCAGAGAAATGGAAGGGACATTGCAGATGTTCTATCCAAACTTTTTGTTTTACAATCATGGAAACTGAGGTGAGAGAGAGGAACTCTTATTTCTCTGCTTATTTTGTTTGCCTTTCCACACACACACACACACACACACACACCCCACACTCAAATCTGCACCCCTCCCCCAGCCACACCCACTGAATTAAACCACCTAAAGATTTATCTGGGTAAGTGGACCTCAGTTATCACTAAAATATGATAATTTCACAGGGATGAAACTAAACACCAGATTTTTTTTGTTAATTAGATAGACTTTCTCATTAGAGCACAGTATAGTGCAAAGGAAAGAGAATTCTGAGTCTACGTGGCTTGAATTGGTTTAGATGTATATTCTACTGACTCAGTACATGACCTGAGGTGATTCACTTACCATCTCTGGGTCTCATTTACATCCTCTGAAGGGCTGTGGCGAGTATACGGCCAGGTTCTATAGTGGACCTTTCTATCCTCTGGTGGCACCTGCTAAGGTATTCAGCAAATGCATCTTTTCCTGAACTGGGTGAGGTTCAAGAACCCTGAAGAGATGGGGTTTTGGTAAGTGTGCTGTGGTGAAGTGAATTGAAGTCAACAGGCAGAGACCCACAAAGCCTCAACAACAGAGCCATATTTGGGCTAACCACACCCAACTTCACAGCACCGAACAAGCACACAGAAGGAATATCAACATAACTTGCTGACTTCCAGGGGATGGAGATATTTCTAGAAACCCAAAGTGGCAGACTCAGTAGGGTCCATGAGATGGCACGTGTCCCTAGGATATCCTGAACACTGCCACAATCTTGCCTAGGTTCCTCCCATCTCAGCAGTTCTGGGCCTTGGGATTTGAAGAAGCGATAGAACCATCCCTGGGGCTGGAGGAGAGAGGCAAGGCCCATTTTCCTCCTCGGGAGCCTGAGAATACAGGCCTTGCCTCAGGGGAGACGGTCGCTGCCTCAGCCAGAGTGATTGAGTTGGGATGAGCCATGATACCGAGTTCCAGTAAAACCCACAGAATGTTCTGAACTTGTGACTAAGTCTGAGCTGAATAAACATTCACCTCAAGAAGGATGGTTCTGTGTGGTGTGGCCTAGTAATCTCTTTTCTAAAAAAAAAAAAAAAAGTGAAAGAAGCAAAAAGAACTTTGCAGTTTGCAACATTTTTTTAAACCATTATGTCCAGCCTCTATTTCATGCTAATCATTGCATCAAGAGCTCTGTCCCGTAGGAAGGTTGTTAACTGTGTTCTCTGAGGCCTGGGCCTGCTCAGGACCACCGTGGGTTCTGGGTGGAGCCCAGTAGATGGCATGATTGCCTGCTTCTCCCTTGAGTCAGACTGAACAGCTTCCCTTTTATTGATTTTATTTTATTGGCCTTCCTCATATTTTATTAAAAAAAATAAAAGTATAAAAGGCCCTGTTGTTTTCCAAAAGAAAAAAAAAAGTATAAAAACAGAATCTGGGGCAATGATATTAAGTTAAAGAGATGATGTCCTATTATTTAATGAATGCTGGAGGGGGAAATAAAACAGTCGATATCTGTCCTTTCTTGTGTGCCAGTGTGTTTTCAATCAAAAGTTCTCATGTGACTATAGAAGTGGGAACTCTTACCCCATTTTACAGAGGAGGAAACTGAGGCCCAGGAATTTGAGTGAATTTACTCAAGTCAGACGGTCAATAAATGGTCCACTATAGATTTGCACTGATGTTGGAGCCGGTGCTCTTAACGGCTACCCTAGCTGACTCCTGCCCAGGTCTCACTCTGAGTTCATAGTTCAGGACCAAGCCCTGGAACCTTTGCCCAGCTTCCCTCCTCTGTCTCTGGACTTTGACATTTTCAGTCTCTAAACAAATACTTACCCCTTCAGAAGACCTTCTCTGGACACTCCAGCCAAACTAGCACCTCCCCTGGCCAGTTTGACTTTGTTTCAAGGTCCTTCTTCTACTTACAAATTGATACATAGGGGTAAGCACCTGCTTATGGCCTTCAGTCTGTGAACCCCAGCATGTCAGTTCTCGTGATGAGGGGCTTCCTAAGCTCCTAGATCACTATCCATCCCTGAAATCTATATTGGAACAAGGCCCTGTGGAGATAAGTGTGCAAGGGTGTGCAAGAGTTGGAGGAAGGAAAACACCTGGATTGAGACAGCATGTATAGGGAATAAGCCTGAAGTTACATGTCTTAAATTAGATCATGGCTCTGCTACCAGTTAGCTGTGTAAATGAGCAAGTTTTGATTTCCTTCTTGGTAGTACAGACTCACAGCTCTCCAGGGGAACTAAATGAGGGTGCATCAATAAATGGTTCGGTGTTTACTTCATTTGTTTTGTTTTTCCCCTAGCACTGGCTCTGGAAACATAATTAAGCACACAGTATGCACTCAATAAATATATTTTGGAGGACGGAAGGCTGGGTCATAGTTAGGACATGGTTAGGACATGTTGTGTTACTGAAAGCACTGAAAAAGGAGTAAGGAGACTCTAGCCCCTGATCTGCCACGTGACTAACTCTAAGCCCTTGGATACCCTGCCTTGCCTCTCGAGTATACACTTCCTCCAGGGGAAAAGAAGGAGGTTGTTGAGCTTGTATATAAATTGCCCTGGGTCTCTGAAATCTGTGAAACAGCAAAGCATGTCCGAGGGCTGATCTGGTTTCCCTTGGATTTCTGGTAACAAATCACCCCACCCTGATTGTTTGTCAGAAAGCTGGAATGACCGATTATGTTTTTCATTTGCTTCCTGGTCTCCACTCCAAATAAAATTTTTAGTACGTCGCAGGTTAGAGAATAACGGTTGGTGGTGCGGCCAAGGGGAGCCCGGTTCACAATGGGCAGTCAATTCCCCTCTTATCTGTTCTGGATTCGTGAGCCTCTTGACTAACTGGATTTAAGGAATGCCACCACGGCTGGTCCTTGCCTCAAGGAATGGGAAAGGAGTACCCAGGTCACAGGGGAGACTTCTGCTGCAGCTCCCCTGAGAGAGCCCAGCGGGTTTGCTGTGATAGTGAGGAAGTCATTGTTTCTTTGGACACGCTGCTGATTTATTCAAACAGGCTGCTGCCAAGGGTTTTACTGGCTTGTAAGGTCATATTGGTGACCTGACATGAAGGCTCTGTGTTCTTGCCATCATTTCCTTAGCCACCAGCTCACAGCAGCCAGTACGTTGCCTCTGCCTGTATTCAAACGCCTGCCTTCATAGCTATGATGGTGTCCAAAAATTCTGCAGAGAAATCAGTAGTTTTGTGAATTCCTGTCCTATGATCAGTGAGGTAGCACGTACGACTCACTCAGACACACAGTGTCTGAAGGCTCATCATATGCCTCACCTTTCACTTGACAGAGAGAGAGAGAGAGAGAGAGAGAGAGAGAGAGAGAGAGAGAGAAGGAGTGATACACAGCATTTTTTAGTTTTCAAAGCCTTCTCACGTGTACACACATGAAGGCTGCATGGACAGAGCTGGTCTTGTTACAACCCCATATTTCATATGAAGAAGCTCAGTCTCAGAATGCCTTTAAGTCTTGCCTAACAACACAGATTAAAATCTGAGTTTTCTGACTCAAATCTTTGGCTCAGAGTTGAAGGGGGAGAGAAGGAGATTTGGAAAAGAACCAAGGCAGAGGTCCCCACACTGAGCAAAACAAGAGACAGTGCTGATTTCAACATCTTCC